TGTTGCATACCAAATGCGCCACGGGATCTGCGGGCAGTGTGCAGGAAGCGGTCGCAAGTTGTTGGCCAGTTGGCCAGTTGGCTGGTTGGCCAGGCTTATTCAGACACTTCATTGTTGTAGCTGCTCTTGCTATGGCATTTATCACACGTAGCATGCCCTTAAAAGATCGCCTCCTCCCACCACTCCACTCCACCACTCTCGCCACGCACTGCCAGCTAGCGCAATATCTATTGTGTAATATTTGCGTGGCATTGCACGAAACTTTTGCCGAATTGCCAAGCTCTGAGGTCTGAGGCTGGCTTTGACCTGCTGCCACTGGGTTGTCGTTGCCGCTTGCCGTTGGCCGTTGTTATTCCTGTTTCTATAATGGCTTGCTGAGCTACACACACATGCAGTTGCAGAATTATATAGTTGATTATTCTAACAGCAATCGCGAAATGTTTTTATTGCGCGCTACAACAAAGAAATGCTGCATACTTTTTGGCTGAAATGAAAACTTGTAACTTTGAATTCTAATTGAATATTCCACAGACAGTCGCAGAAATTAAACTATACTAAGTATATAAGTGTGCGCGAAATTTAAATTAGAGCATCCTGATTGGTATATTCTGCCCATGACAACGTCTCAGACTGCTCTTCCTTAGCCCCGGCAAGCCAAGTTCCTGTAGCAAGTCCTCCTGCTAGTCGTTTGGACACCTAAAACTAAGCTCATGTCAATCGTTTTAAACTCGTAGATTTCGCTCTGCCAGTTACGCCTCATCATCAATCAATGTGTATATGGATGCCATTTGTTGCGACAGTTTCTTCGTTGAGCACACAGACACACCATGGTGCAGGGGCGGTGGCAGTGGGGGCAGGGCTTGCGTGGTTTGCTGCTAGGCGGACAGCTTATGCATTAGCTTCGCCTGCCACAAAATTACATTTCACGTACACGCACTAACCAAAGGGCAAAAGGCAGGGGCAATTCGCTTTGGCTGGCACAAAAATTATTAAAACAAAAAAAAAGATACATATATATATTTATATACGCACACATATACATATGTACGGATCTAAGTGTGTACGCACACCAGCACAAATGGGGTGAGAACAGAATTGTGCACTTATATTGAATTTTAAGCTGTTGGCGATAAAAGCGGATGGATTTGAGCTACCGCCCGCTGCCTCCCAACAGCTTCCAGACTACCTGTGTGGGCTCTGGCTGACTGCTTGATTGTCTGGGAGCGAAATGCCTGCCCAGCGCCTTTCCATAAGGCCTGCCTTCACCTTGCCTGTGTTTATTTGCCAACATGTGGCAAAATTATTTCCGCTTAAAAATCCACTTCCTGCTCATTTTATGTCTTCGCCGCATTCGCAGTTCCTCGGTTTTTTTGTTTTGCTGCTTTCTGTTTTTTTTTTTTTTTGTTTTAAGTAAATTGGAAAAAATTGCTCTTAAAATAAATCACAGATTGGCAGATTTTATACAGGTTTGGGCACAGTTGATGCCTGCCGCTGACAATGAAGAGGCCCCAAATTCACAAAAGCCAACTGCTCAAATGCCAAAAAGAAAAAACAATAACAAAAACAAGCAAAACAAAAATAACTGAAAAAGGCAACAGTACGTGATGGTGGATCCTGCTCCTGTCACATTGTCACAGAATTGAATAAAGTTTCACTTTGAAATTTTCAATGCTCCCGCATATAGTGGTTAAAAGCGTGTATGTGAATGTGTGTGTGTGCGTGTGTGTTGTGCGCGTTTACCCACAACACACACACACGCACCTGTTGATGAAACAAAAATAAAATTAAATTAAATAAAACAACGTCGAGCGCGAGCAACTTTTAGCGCTTAGGCAAAGACCGTGGAGCCTGGGCCCAGCCGCCTTCCTAGTTGCCCCCCAGCAATAATCCCATCGACCCCGCTGCCCTCTATAACAATTTCTGTCCATCAGTCGACCCTTGCGTGGGTTTTCTCTGTACACACATCACCTACAATTAAAATGTGAAATCCGAGAATTGCAGCTATGTTTGCAAATATCTCATGCAGTGTCAATTTGCTCGTGTGTGTGTGTGTGTGTGTGTAAGCTCGTGTGTGTGTGTGGGTGTGCGCGTGTGTTTTATAATTAAACCTCACTTGGGCCACAAGGCAGCCGCCAGCCGGCCGTAAGGCCGCCAGCCGGCCGTAACACCGCCAGCTAGAATGCAAGCCACGAGCACAACAACTGTACCCATTCGCATTGATAAGGGGTAAGGCTGTTCCCACAGCTGGCAATCTGTACCCAGTATTGTCTCTCTTAGACGCGCTCTTAACTGGCACCAGGCAAATACTCTACCACGAAATATCTGTGCCTAGTGGCACAGCTATGAGCAAAGGTTTTGCACTTTGCGTAAAATCCAAGAAATATTCAATTAAATGTTTTAGTTAAATATCAATTTATTGCAATGCTATAAAATTCAGTTAAATTAACTTATTTCATGGCCGTATTTTAGGTTTGTGAGCTGCTTGAATTACTTCTTTATATTGATAATATAAGTATATATTCTTGAAAAGTCTCAGTTATCACAATGTCTGTAGCTAAATAAGCTAATGTCGACCAGACAGCAGTTGCGAACAGATTTCCCCATTGGGAACAGTGCCGTGTACTGTGCCCAAGCCTGCCCCTCAGGGGTCTAGCAGCATTTTACTGGTCCCCCTAGTGCTTTGTGGTATTATTCGAAAACCTTGCCAAACAATTAGATTAGGCAGCACAATTTTGGAAACACGTAGCGCGACGTTGGACACGGAAATTCTATTTTGGTGGAACCACCTATGAAGTTAGTCAGAATTTGGCATCGACTTATCGATCGCATTATCGAACGTGTTTTTTCGCATGTATCATGGTATATGGGGAAAACCTCTCCAGACAATCTTATGTCTATCGTGGCTCTGATAGGAAGCCCATAAGCCAGCTAATTCACTTTGTTTGCCACTCCCGGAATGTTATCTGGCTTTCAGTGCGGCACGTCACAATATAATTAATATAAACAAATTACGCTTCAGTTTTTTGTTGTTTTCGCATTTGAAACGAACCAAAGTGTGGTCAATGCATATGTGCTCATGATTATTATAAGTCGCTCGCACCAATAATAAATTTTACACGTATTTCGTTTGATTTAAGCAAATACTTGCTTTTTTTATTTATTCTTTTTTTCTATCTCAACTCGTTTCGGCGGAAAGAGACGTTAGATGTGCCCAAATCTGGTCAGTTTTTTATTTAATCTCTATATAAAGAACTGTTTGTCCTAACTGACTGACTGATTGGTGATCAACGCACAGTCCAAGCAGTGAGAGCTGAGAAGCTGATATTTTCACTGTAGTTTATGTGTTGAAGGCAGTATGGAAAAATCGCTAAAAAGGATTAGTATAAAACTTTTTTTTTTTTTTGCTTTCCGATCGGCCTAAAACTTAATTTCAAAGTTCTTTGTTGAAATTCATTTGACGACTGTTTCACACTTCTCTGAAAATGTATTCCTCCTTGGTGCAAATGGTGGTCAAGGATTGGCGGGTGACGATTCCAAGTATTCATTAGGAAAATCATTTGCGACCTGTTTCACATATTTCGCAGAATTAAAGTATCCTCGGTAAAAAGTGCCATTCAAAGTTTTTTTGTTTTGTTTACCTTCCGATCAGTTTCAAAATCATTTTCAAAGCTTTTTGAGAATATTTATTTTATACGTGCCACGGGCAAGGCCGGGCTATACCCGCTTATATGTAATATAATAGTATAATATAAAATGTATCAAATCGGGTATTTTATTTTTAGTAACTTATTTTGCTGTTGTCATTTATCAACTTTGCGGTCTCGAAGCACTCAAATTGCAGCATGAAACGATGCGTAATTGACTTTGTTTTATATTTTTTTTCCATTATTATTGTGTACCATAACAATAAACGTATTAATTACACGCGTTTGATGACACTTACCAACAGGAATTAAATCAGCGCAAGTGTATAATTTTTTTCACCAACACCCTTTCATTCGTGAACATTTAAAAAACATTTTACTTTTTTGTAAATAAAATATGTATTGCTTTGTGTTTCGGTTCGGCTGCTGTATGAGCAATTGATTTGGCTAAAGGTTTGTTTCCTGGGAAAAAAACAAAGTGTAGTTCTTGGCTTGAACCGGTTCGTTTAATTAAAACATCGCAAGTGCTTATAATTATTCAACACCCTTTCCTTCTGTGCTCTTAAAGAAAACATTTTATTTTGATGTGAGTAATATGTGTTTCGGTTTGGGTTTAAGTACAGCTGATGTATGAGCAATTGATTGGGCTAAAGGTTTGCTTCCTGGGAAAAAAAACAAAGTGTAGTTCTTGGCTTGAACCGGTTCGGTTAATTATAACAGCGCAAGCATAGCATATGTCCCTTAGTCCCTTTGTTTCGTGTACTCCTAATGAAAACCATTCATTTTTTCGTAAGGAATATGTATTTTGGTTTGGTTCAAGGTTCGTTTCCTTGCAAAAAGCTAGTTGAAGCTCCGATCTTGAACCGGATCGGTTAAGAACAGGCTTGCTGCCTTGATTAAACCTGCCGATGTTTCAGCTAAATAAGCTTCTAAGCTATAACCCCATACACTGATATAGTTGGAATAAAATGAGTTTGGTTTTAATATTGATTGGCAAGCATAGTTTTAAATATTTATTTCGCTTCTATAAACTATTGTTACGCATAAGTGAATTATTTAGAGTTTAAACAGCGTGAATGGAACGCAAATAAATATTTGTCTATTCAAGCCCCAATAATGCAAGCTGCTTATCCGATTAGCCCCAAATTGCTGGAAATTTAAATTAGCATATGTTTAATTCACGATAACATTCCCAATATTCCCCGAATAAAAACTCTATTATTTGCTTTGGCTTTACAATATATTTATTTTGATATACGTTAACATGAAATTTTACTTGGTTGGAATATATCTATAGTTTATGTAATACTTCTTTTTGTTTTTTTTGTTCGTTTTAGTTATTTTTCCTTTTGTTTGTTTTTTTGTTAGGTTTTTTTTTTTTTTTTTTGAGTATAGATTGAAGACAAATTGTTGATATATGCGAAATGTAAATAGAAATTGTATTCAATGCCAAATTAAAGGCATTGTTAATTCAATAAAATCTATTCCAAGGACCAAATTCGTCATGTGCGAAACCTTCCCGATTCGGTCCGTGCTTGTCCTTGCCGCAACCATGTTTTCCATGCTTGCCATGCTTGCCGTGCTTTCCGTGCTTTCCATGTTTGTCGTGCCTGCCGTGTTTCTCGTGATTGCCGTGCTTGCGATGTCCAGATTTCGAAGTATCGCGTGTAGGACTCACCGGACGCTCAGCTGATTTGCCATCCTTGCAAGGGGAGCGCGAGCGTGAGCGGCTGGGGCGACCGCAGGGCGGTGGGCCAAAAGCTGGAGGTCCAGGTGGGCCAGCTGTTGGGCCAAAATGAGGACCATGGTGTGGCCAATGATGTGGCCCATGATGCCGTCCATGATGAGGCCCATGATGAGGCCCATGATGAGGCCCATGATGAGGATGATGTTGTCTTCCATGGTGTGGGCCATGATGCGGGCCATGATGTGGTCCGTGATGCGGACCATGATGCGGACCGTGATGTGGCCAATGATAGGGGCCACGATGGTGACCGTGTCCATGTCGAAGACCCCGTTCCTTGTCACTGCCAGAGCTGGTGCTGGAGCCAGAGCTGGAGCTGGAACTTGGGCTAGAGCTGGAGCTCGAACTGGAGCTAGAGCGATTCACTCGACGCTCATGGTGACGACCCTTGTGGCCATGTCCGTGTCCGTGTCCGGATCGCTGGTGTCCAATGCTGTGATGTCCACCACCTCTGCCGTGCGAAACCGAACGCGACCTAGATCTCGATCGGTTTCTCGGCCATGCCGTGCTCGTCTCCAGGGCCCACGGCAGGCCGCCGTTCCGAAAAAACTGCTGGTGTTCCCACACTGGCCAGGGGCACCCACCGAAGCCTCCACGCGCCATAAAATGATGTGGTCCAAAGTGATGCGGTCCAAAGTGATGCGGTCCAAAGTGATGCGGTCCAAAGTGATGCGGTCCGAAGTGATGGGGACCAAGGCCATGCCTATGCCCATGATGTCCATGCCGGCGCCAGCGGTCATCGGAGCGGCTGTGCGAACGAGATCTGGAACGATCTCTGCGGCCATGATGATGTCCATGGCGTCCAGCCCATTTGCGGCCCCAGCCATGGCAGCCATGGTGGCCAAAGTTATGCTCCGAGCCGGAACCCGAGCTACTCGACGAGCTGGACGAGGAGCTGGATGAGCTCGAGGAGCTTGACGTGGAGCTGACGCTGTTAGAGCGCGTACGTGGCTGCTCATTCTGCTCCATGTTCTCATTGGGCTGCTGAACCTGCTGCTCCTTTTGCTGCTTCTTGGCCTTCTTGTTCTGCTTCTTCTGCTGCTTCTTCAGCTTCTTGGCCTCCTTGACCTGAGCTCTTTGGTCCTTGGCACGCTCAGCGGCCAGCTGATCCATGGCCTGCTGCAGCATGCGCTGCGCCTTATACGCCTTCTTGATGGCCTTCTTGATTAGCTTGCCGCTCTTCTGCACTGGCGCTTGCGAGGATTGGGGCTGCTCTGCCACATCCTCGAAGTCAATGTCGCAATCTACGACCTCAGTCGGCTCGTCCAGCAGCGTCTCATTGCGTTTAGCTAACTCTGCCATTGTTAAAAATTTTCCGCTGCCTTTATTCTTTCAAATTGTGTTAAAATTATAAACAATATTCAATTGTAATTTTTTCTGCGATGTTATTGTATTTTATGCCCTTTCTCTCGTTGGCTCTCTCTCTCTCTCTCTTTGGCTGCTCCACAAAGCTCCAAGCTTCTAACTGATGTTGACGCTCGCCGGCCGGCAACTTTTATACGTGCCGTTCAACGTTTGTAAACGTTTAACGCTGGCAGCGACGCAACGCCAGCGAGAGAGAGAGAGGGAGATAAAAAGATAAATATAAATATAGACAGAGAGAGTGCGAGAGCGAGAGAGCACGAGAGCGGGCACGCTTGACTGACATTGGAGCAGTGGGGAGCCAGTTAATGCGTCGCAGCAAAAACCTGAGAGCTGCAGCCGATAAAAATAGCCCGCTCCACACACACGCACAATACTTATACATACACATACATGCACACGCATGCACGCACACACGCCTACTTATATATACCCTACATATATATGTATATAGGCACATTTTGGTTTGCTTTGTTGTCAATTTCACAACATGGTGAAATATATTCATCTGGTCTGGAGCGATACAATGAATCAGCAATGGGAAATGGTTTCCTATTCTGATGAAATCACCTTCAAACGTTTCTTAAATCTAGAATATTCCCTTCTAAAGTAAAGTACATAGAACTCAAATGGATCCAGGCTTTGCCCCAATTTGCATAGCATGCATAATTCACTTGAAATGACCCGATCAACGTAATGCTCCACAGCTCAGAATGTTAAGCTGTTCATGCATTAGTCGAACTGGTTCATAGTCATGTGTATACAGTTAAACTGGTTCATAATCATGTGTATATATCATCTGCTAATCAACATAATGCTCCACAGCCCAGCAAATACTTAGTATATGGGGCTATTCATGCATAAGTCAATTTTGGATTATATTCATTCCATTCACAGTCATCTGAAATTGAAGTCGAGGTTTTGTTCTATTCATTACTTGATTTGACAGAATTTTAACTGCGTGTTTAGGCTTAACTTCACTTAGTTTTTTTAGGTATATAGCCATCACTAGATCTTCATTTCAAAAATAAAAAAATAAAAAATAAAAAAAATAGCATAAGCTGCAAAGTATCCAAACGTTTAGGCTATATAGAAATTGAAGACTTCAATCATTTAAGTCTAAGGTCACACTGTTTATTTGTATTTTTGTTCCCAACAGTAGTTCAATACAACTTTATATTTCACACAAGAGCTTCACTTTATAATTAAAACAAAATAAAAAAAAAAAGCATAAGCTGCAACGTTGAGGTTGAGGTTTTATAGAAATTAAAGACTTGAATTATATACGATTATGGTCACACTGGCTAAATATTTCTAGCCATATAATTATCGAACACTAAAACTTCATATATTTCAGAAGAAGAATTGACACTATGTAGACTTTGAAGACCTCAAACATCTAATTTAAATTTGCACTATTTATTTTTGTGTTCCCAACAGTGACACAATGCAACCTAATACTTCTCTTGGTTGCTTTAGGCACATAAATATTATATATTATAAACAATTATAAGCAATTTGATCATGCTTTAAATAAGGCTACATTTTGAGGTTATATTGGGCTCCTTTCAACAGACACACATTCAAAGGGTATACACAATTGAACTATTAAAAAAAATATATATATATATCGAAAGATCTCTCTTCCTTTTTTCCGCTGGTCTTAATGGGGCCACGTATTGTACTTTTGGTACATGGTGCAGTGGTACATTGTATTCATTTATATTTTCATAAGGCAACTTCACATTTCGACAACTGACAACTCAGCCATATTTGATTTAAGCACAGTAAGTGGAAGTATGTGCTATATGATTTTAACTTAAGGTTTTCAGCATATCTTTATTTTGCATAATTTAATTAATAGCACAATTTCTTGAAGTACTACAAGACTTTTTTCATTTGGGGTCCACTTAATTGTATGTACATCAGCTTCGGCACACGGTAGCTAAGTGACTGAATAACAAGACACAAGCACAATCTCTCCAGAATGCGCAAAAGTTCGATTGCTACTCATATATATTATATGTATATACACACTCATACATATGCATGATCAGCTCATTTGATTTGCTTTGAGTAACCGGTTGTTAAAGTCACAGACGCATGGGCTGGGTTCAGGGGTTAGGTTCAGGTTCAGGCACTGGGAAACACACATTGAATAGATCATTGCATCTATTCGAACAGTACGGGTATATGCTGTGCATATTATAAAGTACTTGCAAATACATGTATGTCATCATTGTATATGTATTTATGTAGGTATATTATGCAACCACTGCGCACTAGTTTCTTCTCTGTTTTCCATTTCATCACATCGTATTTTAAATATAACAACAACAATCAGAATTGAACTGTGGCGGGCGGACAACATTCCACAAACGTTTGCCTCGGTTCAGCTGGCGTCACTTAATGAAATCCCCCTGAAGCGGACTGAGGCCCAAAAGCCCCATAAGCTGACGGCGTCAAAGCGTGTGCAAAGAAAGAGAGAAAGAGAGAGAGAGACAGAGAGAGGGCGAACAAAGCGGAGAGCGCGTGAGAGACAGAGAAATAGAGAGTATGCATGTGTTAAAAGCGCGGCGATATTCACTTGAAAAGGTTTCCAAAAAGCTTTGACTGTGTAATTGTGTGTGAATGTATATATATATATATATATAGTATAAAGCCTCGAAGCACATAACTATCCGCAGTAGTGGACGCGAAAGTCAGACAACCGCCTTAACTGAGATTATGCTAAAGCTTTATAAACTATTCATATTATATTTTATATTTTATTCAATTTAATTATTATTTCAAATAATAGAGAAATACAATGTTTTACATAAAGATTCTTATTGTCATTCCATATTGAAATACACAAAATATGGATCACATTCTTATACAATAATTTAAAAATAGATATATGTACATATAAGACAGTCCACTGTACTGACTTTTTTGTTCGGCACAGTATCTTCATATATGTATGTTTGTATGTGTATGTATTTAAGAGATTCTTAAAGCAGTAAATAAGTTATATGCCGCATATGACCTTCAGATTGGGCAGGTTCTGAAGGTTGCGACAATAGCGCTGCCAGCCGTTCCAATGGCGAAAGCCCTCGGAAGCTTGAATGCGCTTCGCGCAGGCGGCTCCTTCGCGAAGATTCTCATCGAGCAGCTCTTAAATTCAAACAAACATTAGTTGACCACGCGGGAGAACCAAGAAAGCGAGGTTTCCAACTCACCTTCACACTTGACATTGCAAACGCCGCCGCGTCTCGCCTCCTGGCAGTAGCGACCGTTGATCTGAAACAAGCCATAGCTGCGGGATCCGTTTGCATTGGTTGTCACCTTGGCGGTGTCCAGATCGCTCTCATGCTCCAGCAGGCATATCCCTGTGTATATAAGAGCGCAGTGTTAAGAGTCCATTCACTCGCAACTCTCCCCCGCCCCGCTACTCACAACTGGAAAGCAGGCTGCGCTCAAAGCCGTGCTGTTCCAGCAGCTTCCGTGCCAGCTCGCAGCGCATATAGCGCTTGCCCAGCACCAGAGAACCCGAGCTCACCCACAAGCTCACATAGAACAATGCAAGCGCCGCCGATCTCATCTTGCGACTGCCAGCCCACTGTTTGAGCTTGAACTTGGACTCGAGTCTGGGATCTCTGCCACCGCTGCTGCTGCTGCTGCTGCTGCTCTAGACAACTGATTGCTGATAAGCTTCATTTGCGTTGTTTTCAACGAATATGTAATAGAACCAATTGCTGGCGGGTTAATGGGGGCTGAAGTTGCCAGCTTCGATGCAATACTTGCCGGCCACGGGCCTACTTCAATGCACTTCCATTTGTCGAGGGTATTGTGAGTTTGTGCAAATACACGTTCAACCCCAATCGGTCCATCTTAATGGATGTGCCGTCCCACAATGGCACTCCCCAGCCTCAGAAGGGTATTTAAGTTTCGACTTGCTGCATACTTCCATTTTTTCTCTTGCTTATTAATCAACTAATTACTTCCGCATTCGTAATAAAGGTATACGTTGAGGTATTCGAATCAAGAGCTGCCGATGGCTAAACTAGCTTCCCAGTTCAAATGCCGCTCAAGCCGGCAACAAGAAAACGCGCATAAGTGCAAAAAAAAAATTTAACAGAAATATAGAAAACAGTTTTGATAAACGTGGCTAGCCCTGGGCGTGTCAGTATTTGAATACCCTGTAGAGAGCATTGGCTAAAAAGGGTATTTCGCTGATGTGTGCAATAGGCAAAGGGTGACATCTGCGAACCCAGCCGACTAAAGACTTAATATTACTTATGATATTAATATATGTAAATATCTTATTGATCCATAACTGATTTAAAACAGCTTCATAGACATATCTCGGGGTTAAGGTAAGTATATATACACATATAAAATATTCCTTTTGATATACGGATTGGACTTAAAGTTACAACATATACAGGAATGCATTTGCCACCATCCAAGATTAAAGACACAAGATGCACACTTGCTCCGCTTCACTGGGTATCTCTTTGTCGGCAACTACGACAAGAACATGCCTCGGATACTATTACTACTGGAGCTGGATATTCCAAGTTTGGTAAGTACAGTTCAGTATTTATTTATAGAGATATACAACATATTTCGCTTTGGGTACACTCTGCCAACGAATCTAACCTAAAAAGAAAGCAAAGCACCCTGCTCTTAATTGTTCTTATAAATCCTCCAGTACTTTGAAAAATCAAAGCAGAAATGTAAAGCTTACGAACGACATGAAAACTTATAGCAAATGAATATGTCGGAAGTGAAATATAATATCTTATAGCAACATATTTGTGGTGTTATAATATGATATGTGGTCTCTGATATTATTTGCTGCATTAAATAAGTGTATCGCATCGTGGGCTTAGAATATAGCGAAAATATAAATGACATTGATATAGAGAATTATTATGGATTTTCTTTAGATATCATATCATATAAAGATACTATTGTTAAGATAAAAACGGCTGGCAGCTTTTGAAATCTTAAAGCTTTTGTAAAAACGCTAAACTTAAAAGTTAAAGTGTTTGGCGTGACTTTTAAAGATTGTTTTTAAAGAATCTTTCACAATTGTATGCTTATGCATCGATAGCTTTTTACCTTTTTCTCACTGAACGAAGCTTAACCACTTGACGAAAAGATACACTTGACGAATATAATAAAGTATAGACACAAACCGAAATCAAGGACCCATCCAAGTCACGCACCCTGCCCCCAACTGTTCACAATAATTAAAAGCTTTGCAAAGTTTTGCTATTCCGTCAGCAGTTATTAAATTGGCAGCTACCGACTTTTGAATACACTGTATCTGGGAAAAAAACTAGTTTATTACGTTGGCGGAAAAGTTAATTATTTAGGTCTTATCATAAACTAATTTTGTAGCCTTGTCGTAATTAAGTGCGAGTTACTTTCATCTAAGTTTTGAGACCGGGATCAGTAGAAGTAAAAGTGATGGTCAGACGAAAATCTCTACAACAAATATACTGCTTATCTATTCGAAAATAGAGTATAATTAGAGAGTGGAAAAGAAGCTCTGGGCATTTTTCGAAGTTATAAGGTTTATCTACTGTAGTTAAGCGCGCCAAGCAATATGTAAAATATTAACCAAATAGATAGAGATTTCGAATGCTATTGTTGAGGAATACAAAATTAGACAACTCAAAATCCACAGCAATGTGCATTACATTGAAAATAGGTTTATAAAAGGGTTAAGTGTGCTAATCCACTCAGTTCCGTGCAGAAACAAATTTTTTTTTTATCAAAGCAAAAACATGCTTAGTTTATTTTTCGATAGTTTTCCACATTTGCATAATATCTATGACTCAAAAGTCTTGCACAGGCTTTTTGACATAAAATTAGTTTGAAAGATATACATATTTTCGGACCCAATAATGTCATTGAAGGAACATTAGAGTACGTATCTTACAACGTGATAAGGCCGGGTGTGGAAATATTTTTCTTTTCAATACTGCATGTTATTATATATCATATTGAATTTATAAAATATTATATTTATTGATAAATGTAGAGGGATTTTGTGACCTTTTTATACCCTGAACCCATTAAAAATGGGTATAAGGGTATATTGTATTTGTTCAAAATCCAAATGTATGTAACAGGCAGAAGGAAGCACCTCCGACCCCATAAAGTACATATATTCTTGATCAGCATCAACAGCCGAGTCGATATAGCCATGTCCGTCTGTCCGCCTGTCCGTCTGACCGTCAGTCCGTCAGTCTGTTTCTATGCGAACTAGTCCCTCAGTTTTAAAGCTATCTTAATGAAACTTTGCAGAAGTCCCTCTTTCTGTTGCACGCAGTACATATGTCAAAACCCGCTGGATCGGACTACGATATCATATAGCTGCCATAGGAACGATCGGTTTAAAGTTAAGTTCTTGTATGAAAAAAACATTTTGTTTGTTGACCAAACTCGGAATTTATTAATTTAACTAAGCTCCTCATATATATGCAAAATCCTATTAAGATCGGACTACTATATCATATATCTGCCATAGATCAGTCGAAAACTAGGTTTTTTATTAAAAACCTTTTTTGATTATCAAGATATCTTGTCCAAGCTCTGCATTAACTATTTTCCCTGTGCTTCTTAGATACGGGCAAAGCACTATACGCATTATGAAAAGGTTGGGTCTGCAAGGGTATTAGATCTTCGACGTGCCGAAGATAGCCTTTCTTTTTCGTTTTTCGATTTCCTTTTATTTAAAATATTCGTTAAAATTTATTTTTGACCATTTTGTTTTTTAATAGCAAAAATATACTAAGAACTAATAAGAGAACTGACACAGTATGCCCTCACTCAACTCAGCCCTCGATACATGCAGCTCAACAACACGCACCCGAATCCTGGCCATTGTAGGCCCTGTTGGTGCAACTTGGAAACAGTAAATTCAGTAAAGGCAATTTTCTTGGAAAATCCTATGCTTAAGTTTGTTTTTTCCACTTTCCTTTTGTTATTTTGTTCATTTATCATTTTCGAAAAGGATTACTTTACTATTTCCACATATTTTTTAATGGAATTTACATATGATGGAATTTATATATTATATAGTAAATTTAAATTTTTAAAATATAGATTTATTCGATTTTCTTTGATTTATTTTTGAAGAAAATTCACGTTTTTGGAATGCAAGTGAATAAGCTAATGGAAAATAGTACTTCGGTTGTCAAGAATCATGTTCCTTGTGAAAAAATCGTTTGTTTCTAATGATCGTGATCTTGATCAAGCTTTGCTCTGTTCTCGCTACATATTAACCGAAGCTTCTCAACATATGAACTAGTAGTCCATCAACATAAATCATTTATTACAAGAGGACGAAGAAATCGAATAACAAGTATTTATTACGA